AAAACAATAGTAAGTATGGCTATCATGGTTTCTGACTTTTCTTACAGGTGGCTATGGTATGGATGCAATCAAGAAAAACAAACGAGATGGTACTGAAGTCACTGAAAGAAGTAAGAGCATTGGAATTTTTTACATGCTTTATTATAAAAGTAATAAAAATTTGGAAACAGAATAATTCATTAATAATTCTACCACAACCACTATATCATGTTTAAATGTGTTTCTAAATGGACTTTAATCCTTCTGATAAGATAGATCTTGTTGATTTTTATGTCAAAAGATGTCCTGCGTCCTGCTTTTTCTTCAGTGATGAAGGTTTTCATTTCTATGTAGTTTTCATAACCTTCATTTTTTAATAATTCATAGCATTCTACTAAATAAATTTACCATACTTTATTTAACCATTTCCAATTTTAGGGGTACAGGGCAAGAGAAATCTAAATAACAACCTAGTTATTGCAGAGACAAAGTTGAAATAAAACTAATATTATAGTTGACATCTACACTGAAAACTGAAAACAGATACACTCATTTTGTGAAACTGCCCAACAAAAAATTAAGAGACATTTAAACTGCCCGCCTAGCAACTCTAAGTTAGGAAACTTTTCCACTTATTCTGTGACTTTCATATATCTCCAATAAAAAAAATTTCTGGCTCCATAGACATGAAACTTTTGGTTAGGAAATAATTTATTTTTATGTGTCAAAGAATCCCAAAGTCTATACAATGAGAAGTTTAGTGAAAATTCAAGGACTATTATTCAAATCAAGCTGCAACTGTACTCTGGAAAACCATTTCCTTTTATGTGCTGTTTCTGGCATGTCCATAACCACATATTCTTGCTAGGACAACCAAACTAATTAGCAAAGTGCAGTATGAAGAACAGTGTGAATGAGAGTCATATGGGATGAAGCAGGCGTCAGCAGCATAGCTGAAAGGCACACAAAATGATCCTGCACCATCTTCCTTTACTCTTTTCTCCTTACACCACCTTCCCCACATGTATGTGCCAATGCCTGCCACACACACACACACACACACACACATGCACACATACACACATGCATGCAAGCACGCACACTGGAAACCTGCTTTTAAAGGACAGAGACCCCAGATAGGTAGGTGCTCCTGTATACCCACCAGAGACAGAGGTAGTGGTGAGGGCCACAATCAGAGGATGTGGTAGATTCACCATCACTCAGATCAACAGGAACTAAATTTCAGAGGCCAAGGGATTGGTTCTTCAAGTCTATCTGTGATGTGCCTGGATCACTGATTTTGCAAAACCCCAAATGTGACTTACCAGGAGCCCCCTTCCTTCCCACAATTCCCCACATTCAGAGGTTGCCCTAAAGACGTTAGAACGAATCATGTTCTTGAACACCTCCAAATTCATGAAGAAGTAAGCAGTGAAAGTCAGTCAGGGTGTTGGCCTCAGCTGGACTGAGAGACCATGGGGAAGGAGCAATGCAGAGAAACAGAGTAACTTGAGACAAGAGGGCCTGGTCTTCCTTCAACCTCAGATCAGGCCTGGACTGGATCTAATTGTCCAAGGAGAGACATCACCACCAGAACAACTCATGTTTCAAATCAGTGGGTAACTTGTTTTGGCTCCAAAGAGATATAAACTTATTTTCCAAGCACATTAAACCCATTGTTGTTGCTCATATCTTTTTGCACAGTGAATCAGATCGCAAACTTTAAAGCACAGGCATAGAAAAATCAATGTTGAACCTAATTTAATATGCTGATCCAATGACAGAGCTTAGACCTTGCCAAGATCCAGAGGTGTTAGTGCATTACATAAGATCTTTTCTTTGTCTTTTTCTAGTTGTCACTGAAACAGTAACCACAAGACTTACATCCTTACCACCAAGTAAGTAACTACCGCAATAGCTTTCTTCTCAGGAGGTCACATTTGAAGGACCCCACACCTGTAACCTGTTTCATGAGAGCTCCAAATCTTTTGAAATTTTTTAAACAGCTATATTGACATTAATTTGTAGACAACAGAATTCACCAGTTCAAAGTGTATACTTCAGTGATTGTTAGTGTATTTACCAAGTTATGCAGCCATGATGACAATCTAATTTTAGATTTCCATGGCTCCTCAAAAATAAGTGACCATTAGCAGTTACTCCTCATTTTTCCTCCTCACTCCCCAGCCCCTGGAAACCACAAATCCACTGTCTATGTAGATTTGCCTCTTCCAGATGCTAAAATATTGGAAATCTTATCTAACCTGAGCAGAAATTGGGGGCCACCGGTCAAGCTTCTGATTGAGGCCACTTTTTTACAGGAGCTCCTATCATTCCTGTAATATTGATCGGTGCCCAAAAGCTACCCCTTCCCCCACCTTCAGCGAGCCTAGTTCCCTGGGGATGGGGAGAGCCCGCCCAACAGCAGGTGAAGTCGGAGCAGTGATGGGCTGCCAGGTGGAAGGCCAGCAACACAGAGCTGCCACGCACCCCTCCAGCACTTCTAGTGGCTGCCATGGCTGGGCGCTGACCAGGCACTTGGAAAAAGCAAGCCCAACCAGGTCCTGGACTCAAGGAGCTTTTATTGCTCAGCCTCTTCTAATATTTAAAATTTCCTGATACGCAACTTGCTATATTCCATCCAGGGGACTTTTCTTTTAAATCAAGTGGAATAGTTACTCTATATATTTGTATCAAAAAACAGCAACAACAAAATTGGAGCATGGCAGCTTGCATCTTATAATGTAGGTGGGAAAGGGACCCCAAACCAAGAAGGTCCTGGTGAAAAATCAGGGAAGGCTTCCACAGGGTGGGGGACAAGGGGACCCTCTGGCCTGACTTCACCCTGAAATTGTCACCTGCTTTTGTTCCTGGCAGAAGGCGGGACCAGCAATGGCTATGCTAAAACAGGCTCTCTTGGCGGAGGGAGCCGTCTGGAGAAACAAAGCCTGACTCATGGCAGCAGCGGCTACATAAACTCAAGTGAGTGCCTACTGGTGCCAGTGGTCAGGGAAGAATGAGGACAAAGAGACACCAAGAAAGTCCTGCAGAGGACACAGGGCAGTCATGATTTTGAATCAGTGTACAAGAGAGACAATTACACTCACCTGTCATCCGTTCCAAATGCCCTAAAGAGTTATCTAAATAACACACAGCCATTGGGCAGCAGGGGTGGAGAATGGGGGTGCAAATTCTAAATCATCAGCATTTGAAGCCTACTTAAAATCAGGTCCGTTTTCATTAAGTCCGCAATATAAATTACTATTAATTAAGAACACTTCATTGGTAAGTTGCTATTTTCCCACTAAATCACTCTCTTTAAGCCATCTCTTTAGAGAAGGATGTGCACGCCTGAAGGTTTACAATACGAATTAACAACAACAACAAAAGAAACTTAATGATTGGGTTACTATGCTAAGGGAAGCTGGTGACATGTTATCCACACCCTGAAAGGTTCCACTGGGCAAGCATCCAACACAGGCCTGTTGTTCCCAATGAGACACTCTTTCAAACTAAAGCAAAAGAAAGCAAACCAAGGCAAAACCAAACAAAAACAAGAAGCACCCAGATAGCTCCTGAAGCCATTCAAAATACTTAGAAGTGAAACTAAAAAGGAAGCCCCAAGACATAAGAACAGCCAGGCTGACCAAAAGAAACACTTGCCCATACCTGTTGAGGCACACTTTCATGCCGGATTATATTCTAGTCCATCCAAGCAGTGTCTACAGGAAAAATCCTGCCAAATCCTTTCCATTTCCATGCATGATAAACCATGCATAGGAAGGACATTCCAGGCCAATAATTCCACCCTTCCATTTCTGAACAGCTGGGGGAATGCTGAGGCAGCCCCTTTCAATTGTGCCCTCCCGAAAGCCCTCCCTGAGAGTACTTGGTTAATATAGCTGGGTCACAGTAGCCATTTAGTTCACCTCTCTGCCGAAGCACTATGAGAACTTATGCTTTTCCCCTCTTGCAGGTGGAAGCACACGAGGCCATGGCTCCACCTCTAGTTACAGGAGGGCTCACTCACCTGCCTCCACTCTGCCGAACTCCCCAGGCTCAACCTTTGAAAGGAAAACTCACATTACCCGCCATGCATACGAAGGTATCAGTTCTACTAACTGTACAAGAGGACTATTCTCTTCCACAAGCAACTTCACTCATTCTTTGAAGATATACATACTGGCCACCTGTGTCTGCCCCTCACCTTTCTTTCTACTCCTTCATTTTTTTTCTGGGGTCTGGTGTTGTGGCTCACGCCTCTAATCCCAGCACTTTGGGAGGCTGAGGCGGGTGGATCAAGAGGACAGAACGGGAAATCAAAGCCATCCTGGCTAACACAGTGAAACCCCGCCTCTACTAAAAATACAAAAAATTAGCCGGGCATGACGGTATACGCCTGTAGTCCCAGTTACTTGGGAGGCTGAGGCAGGAGAATCATTTGAACCCAGAAGGTGGAGGTTGCAGCGAGCCAAGATCATGCCACCACACTCCAGCCTGGGTGACAGAGCAAGACTCCATATCAAAAAAAAAGTACACTTAAACTCATTTATTTTATGGACTTCCATTACTTGAAGGCTTCATTCATTCATTCGCTGCCTCATTTATTCATTCATTCACCCATTTAGTTACTTTTCCAACTAGTATTTTATCCAATACCTGTTATGTGTTTAACACTGTGTAGAATGCCTTGATGAATGCTTAAATGAATCAGACATGGATCTTGTCTTCAGGATCTGTAGTCCAATAGACATGTTAAGATGACAGATAAAATACAACTGTGCAAAGTAGATGGGGATTATCATTTTCAGCTGAGGAAATCAGGGAACACTCTATGGAGGAGGTAACATCTAGCTGGGCCCTCATGATGAGTAAGAGTTTGATATCCAGAGATGGAGAGATGGGGCTGTCCAGGGTATGGGAGCAGCAGCATAGGCAAAGACTGCCAAGAGAGCCCAGGGCTTAAGTGGGAAATTCAGTGGTACTTATGTGCAAAAGTTTTGAGGGACTCAGATTCAGTGCTAGGATGAGATGTTTAGACTTACTCCATATGCAATGGGAAGCCACAGAGATTTTTCAGCAAAACAATCATATTTGAGGTCCAGGACTAGAACTCTTGAAGCCATGTGTTGGAAAAATTGGTGAGAAAGAGACTGAACACAGTGACAAATTAAAAGGAAATCCTCATCCTCATACAGTCATCCAGAGAAGGGACATTTTGACTGGGACCAGGTTTGTAACAATGGTGCTGAGGAGCTACAGGTGAAAGGTATCTCCGAGGTGGAATTGACAGGTTTGGCAATTGATTCAATGTAAGGAAAAGGCTTTACACACAGGTGGGTTCTTGGTGGTGCCAACAACTGAAACAGGGAATCCAGGTGGAGGACTCCACTTGATGAATCCAGTAATTTCATCCTGAAGTACAGCCACTTGCTCAGCTCTCTAGTGAGGGTAGCAAGCAGGCAGTGGGTGATGCTGGACTTGAGTTTAGGGAAGAAGTCAGGGCCCATATACCCAGGTGGAAGGCATTCACAAAGCGATGTTAGAGGAAATCAGAAGAGTAAGGGACTTTGCCAAGGAAGAGAGTATAAAAATTGAAGGAAGCAAATAAAGGTAAAGTGGAGGGAAGAAGGAGAAAGAAGAGCCAGATAACAGAGAGAGAAGAAAGAGTCTTTTAGGGACATGGGGAGACCAGGAACATGCAGCAACGCTGAAGTCAACACAAGAGAGTGCTCAGGGTCAAGAAGGAGTCATAGACACCTGGGTTCCGTTACTAACGTTCCTGACATACCTGGTGATCTGCAGAAGCAGTTTTAGTGGGAAACCGACAAGCCAGGCAACCAAGGAGTTTAATGGTAAGGAGAGATGGGTGGTGGTGCTGGAGAAGCAGGAGTAAGGCCCAGACACTCCAGTGAATGATTACAGCCAGCCGGCATCCCACACCCACAGCAGACTCCTTCCTGCGGCTGCAGGACCAGAGCTGCCAGGCCACGGGGAAGCTCCAAATCCAGGTGAGGTAGATTGAATCATCACAGTGCTTTCTGATGTCAGGCCTGAGCAGGGATTTGTACGTTCATTTTAACTGGGTCCACGTTTGGGACAAGGCTCACAGGGTCAGAGAGGTTGCTGGTGCTGAGGGCAGGTTACTTGCTCAGGGCAGGTCACTTGCTCTAGCACAGGCACAGGGCAAGGCCAGTGGAAGAAGTGAACAAAAATGAAAGAAATGAAAACCTCCTACTCTCCTTTGTTCATCCTTGTCTCATCTGAAGTAGGTCCTTGACCAGAGTGAAGAGTTGGGACCAGAGCCATGATGTGTTGTCTTTACATCATGAGCCTGGCTCCTTTGAAATGCATGCTGAAGAGCATACCTCATCCCCTCCTGAAGCACCGAGGGCTGTGGAGGTCCAGAAAGAAGTAACAGGCACTACTTCCCCTTTTGGAAGCTTTATGGGCCTAAGAAGCCATTTGTTCTGAGTGTTTTATCCCCTCTCTAGGGAGCTCCAGTGGCAACTCTTCTCCGGAGTACCCTCGGAAGGAATTTGGTATGTCCTCTCCTTATTTTCTAAAGAAATGGCCAAACGAGGCACTAGGAAAATGCCTGGGGGAGATGAAATGGCAGGAGTAGGAGACATCATGAGCTAAATGGATTCTTCTAAAGGAGTTTGACCTCTGCTGACCTATTTTTCCCTTGCTCTTTATCCTGAAGCATATTAAGGGGACTGTCAGCCACATTAACTTGCTGTCATAAGCCTTTGCTCGTGGCACTATAGAAATGGTAAGCTGGCTCAGGCTTGGATGGATAAGCCCCTAAGGCCAAACAATAATTGTAGGGATTCTTCTTTCCATGAGATGCACGTGAGACCAACAAGGCAGACCAGCGAGTAGAACACACAAATGCCAGGCATCCCAGCACCTTCACTACTGCTTGCTTTCAAGAGCACTGTATATGCTTCATGAACCCCAAGGCTGTGTCTTCACTTGGCCTTAAGTTTTTGATCCGTGTTCTTGGAATCTCACTATGCATATAAATTGATACTATGATCATTGATTATACAGTGATTATAATTTTATGTATTTGCTTACAGTGGGGAAAACATGACACTCAAATAATCAAAGGGAAGAGCTGGGAGCTTTTTGATACATTTAATCAGTGTAGTCAGCTAGTCCAAATGGATCATGCTCCCCAACAGATTACCTTAGCTAATTTAACACTCTAAATGTTAGCTCACTTAACATTCGTTTAGCTAATTTAACATCATAAATGTACTATGGCATTGCAAAACATTCTCTGCTGTTGCTAAGGGGTCATCATTTATTAAGCAACTGCTATACAGAAAAGCCCCTATCTGGATCTAGACACACTATGAAAGTAATCCCTTCCCAAATATATCTGCCTCCATGTCAAAAGTATTTAGCATGCCACCTGTTATATATGCCTAAAATTGCATTTCTTTGTTTCTCAGCCTCTTCTTCAACCAGAGGACGGAGTCAAACACGAGGTGAGTGCTGTCACTGGGTTCAGTCCAATTCATTCAACAAGTATATTCTGAGCAGCTAATGTGTGTCCAGCCTTCAGCCAGAGTGTAAGGGGTACAGAAGAATAGACAAGGCATGCTTTCTGCCTTCAAGGAGCTTCGAGTATCCTGGGAATCTTCCACTGGCTCTATTAGGAGGGGCAGGGTAGCTTTTGAGAGTAATCTAACAAGCACGAAGAGGCAGGAATCAAAACATATAATAACAATGTGGGGCATCATTTGTTTTGCTGTGGATCATCTGAAGATGCAGATTCCACATCTGCTTTCGCTTCTGGTCTCCTGGTTGACTTTAACAAAATATGCTTTAATTGCCTTTACACATCAAAAGATGAGCAAAATCTCCCTAACTTTTTTTTTCAAAATTCATCCAGGAGATAAACAGCTACATGACAGTTTTGTAATCTCATCATCTAGACAATGATATAAGAGAGAAATGTGGTCCTGGGGGAAGCAGCCCTTGCTAAGCTTTAGGCAGTGTGGGGGCAGCATATTAGGGCTGGTGAAGGCAGAATTCTTCACAATGACCCACCTAGACTTCCTATGGGCCTTATTATCATCAATAACTTGGAAGTTAGGAGTATGCCAACCACCCACAACCTTAGGTTGATAGTTGAAAGATGCCAACTGTCCACCTGCAGCTAATAATGTTAGGCTACCAACTTCCTGCCCTTCCCATCTCTAAAGAGGCCAAAATGGCAAGTAAACACTATGGCTTTTAGAATCTCTTGCCAATGCCTGAGACCATGGAGGCAGGAGAGAACCTTGGTTCTGGCAACTGTGAGGTAGATGATGGGGAAAGGGTTGACCATTGTTGATTGTACTGGAACCTTATTGCTCAGCCTGGGATTTTATTAGAACATCTCCAGCTGCCTGGGAGGTGTGCAGTTGGCAGGAGGGGGTATTGTTGGAGATGGGGTGGTCTTCCTTTTTAAGCAGCACTTGTCTTGGGTAAACCTAGATTACCTGTTTCCAAAGCTCAGAAATCTCAGAACAGCTTAAAGGGTCATGTGCTTTTAGAAGTTCAGTGTCAGAAACTGTGATCTAAACTCCTTCGTTCACACTCTTCTCCTTCTCTTCCCTTGTACAGAGAGTGAAATTCGAGTTCGACTGCAGAGTGCATCCCCATCTACCCGATGTAAGTGATCAAGATATTGCTGGGAAAAAAAGGGTCCAGAAATTCAGGGCTAATGCTGTGCATGTGTGTCCACGCATGCGTGTGTGTGCATGCAATCATAAAACATCTTTAAGGGGTTTCTGTGAATTGGACCCTGGGCCAGGTGCTGAGGTTAAGCTGCTGAGTAAACCCTGGTTCTTGCTGCATAATAGTTCACAGACTAATAGGGAGACAGTAAGTCAACCAACCATCACAACTCAGTGTGGTGAGGGAGCAGGGAGGAGCAGCTCCACCGTAGCCCAGGGAGATCAGATCAAAGAGGCCTTCACGGGTTAGGTGTTACCTGAAAGGAAACTGAGGAGTGGGTCAGTTAGGCTTAGAGGGATGAGCCTGGATGAGACATCAAAGGAACAGTTCAGAGCAAGGACATAATGGGATAGCTGAAGGTTAGAGAAGGGTCAGTAGTAGAGTATAAGAGTTTGAAGTTTATCTCAAATGCCAGAGACCCCCCAGTCTCTGTCTATTGAATATGTTAGATACCTGTTGTTCTTGCTAGAGGTATTTGACTTTCGAAATGAGCTTAGCTTTTAGGACAGCAGCCAAGTACAAGGAGTAGGAGAAGAAAGACCAGGGTCAATGGCTCAGGACAGAGATGGGGGTTGTCCAGAGAGCTCAGTACCTAGGGTTGTAGAATCTGACTACAGGCCTGACACCTTCTCACCTGAGTCCTTCCAGGCTTAGAGACAGCGGGGCGAAGAGAGTGGGGGCTGAGAGTTCCTTCAGCATACATTGTCTGCAAACCTGTGTCTCTTCTCATGCACTACCCATGCACGATGTCTCCTACCTCTCCTGCTTCCCTGCTTCCTGCATGGGAGGCACAGGGAACTTGCTCCATTTTCCACTTTGCTACAGATTAAATCAGCCAGACAGACTTGAAATTAAATCACACATGAACACAGCATAATGTTTAGGAGTTATGGGCTACAAATTCCTTTTGACACCCCAGGCATACAAGGTCAGGGACCCAACATCTGATGCATCCTGTGCAGGGGATGAGACTACTGTTAAAGCACCTGTTTGAAGGGACCTGGTTCTCTAACCACCTGATCCTAGATGATAGTGTCTTCCAGCCACAGGATCATTCCTGTGATGTTTCATGAGGTCTAATTAGGAAATATCTCCCAAGTACCTTGACCTCCTTGTGAGAGGCAGAAGATTTATGAGGCTGTTAATATGACAAAGTACCAAGTTGATAAGTGCTATTCATTGGTAAAATGCGAATATTATAAAGCCAAGCAAAAAGTGTGAAGCAATGTGTGAAGCAGAGGCCATTCTCCCTAGTAGTCAGAATGCCACAAATATTCCCCCAACTGCACAGGGACTCAGGAAAGAAGCCTGGACTTAACAGAAACATCTGTGGATTCTTTTACAGGGACAGAATTGGATGATGTTAAGCGTTTGCTCAAGGGGAGTCGATCAGCAAGTGTGAGCCCCACCCGGAATTCCTCCAACACACTCCCCATCCCTAAGAAAGGCACTGTGGAGACCAAAATTGTGACAGCGAGCTCCCAGTCAGGTAAGTCTGACAGCCCAAGCTGCAGAGGAGTGTGAGAAACAAACTTACACATCCAAACCAGGCTGGAAGTGGTGGATTGATAACTCAAGAGGTGGGGTTTGAGTTAGGAGTCCTTTCAATCCAAGGGACAGGGTAGAGGATATGGCCAGTATATAATTTCTTAAAAATTGGTCTTTGGTTTCCACAGTAGGAAGGTCAGTAGTCCTACCTAAATATGGTAGTCTATATAATAATCTGTAAGAGGACAATCCCAAGCCTTTCCTTGGAGCTGTTCTAATCCTAAGGAGTGCTATTGGGAGACATTAAAGGCATTTTAGTTTTTAAGATGAGTTTAGTAATATGCTTTTTGAGAGTTTGATTTATTCTGCTTTTCCAGAGGAAGAGGGATACCAAGGGGCGTGGTAATTCCATTTAATGTATAAACCTTCCATAATTCCCCTTAGCACCCTGGGGGTAAAGTGGCTCCCATTATCTAAATTAATATTTTTTACCAGGCCAAATCTAAGTATAATTTGTTTTAAGATTATTTTTGGCCAGGCACAGCAGCTCATGCCTGTAATCCCAGCATTTTGGGAGGCCAGGGTAAGCAAATTTCTTGAGGTCAGGAGTTTGAGACCAGCCTGGCCAACATGGTGAAACCCCGTCTCTACTAAAAATGCAAAAATTAGCTGGGCATGGTGGCAGGCGCCTATAAATCCAGCTACTCAGGAGGCTGAGGCAGGAGAATCATTTGAATTTGGGAAGCAGAGATTGTAGTGAGCCAAGATCGCCCTACTGCATTCCAGCCTGGGGGACAAGAGTGAGACGTTGTCTCAAAAAAAGAAAAAAAGATTATTTTTACCAAATTCCGAACGGTGGCAGTTGGAAGGGGACGGCCTCCACCCAGCTGGAGAGGTGGTTTACCATTATAAGTCGACACTTTAGTCTCCCTATTTTGGGCATTTCTGTAAAATCTACTTGAGTGCACTGAAATGGCCTTAACCCAGGAGGTCTTCCTCCAGCAGTCTCTTTTCTAACTATCTTTTTGTTTATTCTCTGGCAGGTTACACATCACCCACACACTTGTTTAGCAAGGGTATAAATCCCTATACATCCATACTTTTTGAGTATTGTATCACACATGGCCTGGAGACCCCAACAACTTCCCTTATGCAGTATGGATGTTAGTTTTCTCATTATGGGTTTGCTTATCATTTCTCTCCCATCAGGGAGCACCCACCTCTCATCCTCAGTTTGAGTGGCCCCCATCTTGCCCAGCTCCTCCTCCTTGTCTTTAGAAAATTGGGGGGCCGGGCGCGGTGGCTCAAGCCTGTAATCCCAGCACTTTGGGAGGCCGAGGCGGGTGGATCACGAGGTCAAGAGATCGAGACCATCCTGGTCAACATGGTGAAACCCCGTCTCTACTAAAAATACAAAACATTAGCTGGGCATGGTGGCGAATGCCTGTAATCCCAGCTACTCAGGAGGCTGAGGCAGGAGAATTGCCTGAACCCAGGAGGCGGAGGTTGCAGTGAGCCGAGATCGCGCCATTGCACTCCAGCCTGGGTAACAAGAGCGAAACTCCGTCTCAAAAAAAAAAAAAAAAGAAAATTGGGGTTTTAATATCACCTTAGGGATATTTGGGATTAAACAATCTACCTTCTTCCTCCAGGGAGGCTTGCCTAGCACCTTTATCTGCAAGCCTGTTCTCTACAGCTTCTACGTGTTTTCTTTCTGGGGGTCATTTACATGAACTATGGCTGTCTCTGCTGGAAGCAAGAGGCTTTTTAGAACTTGTTTGATCAGTTCCCCATGTACCAGTTCTTTCCCCCTGCTGTTTATTAGGCCTTGTTCTGTCCAGATCTTTTTAAAGGTATATACTACTTCATAGGCATATTTGGAATTAGTATATACAGTGCCTTTTTCGCCTTCTAGGAGCTTTAGGGCCTGTTTAAGAGCATGTAATTTACAGGTTTTGGCTGACAATTATTGGGTAATCTACCTTTTTCACATAAGGATTGTTTGTTTCCATTAATGGTAGCATAGTCATTGTGTGGTTTTTTTTTTTTTTTTTTTTTTTTTTTCTTTTTTTTTTTTTTTTTTTTTTTTTTTTTTTTTTTTTTTTTTTACCATTTATTACTTGGGATTACCAATTTACAGTCTCATCCTATCATGTGGTGGGGTGGTTTAACTTTAGTTTGATATTAAGATCTGGTTTAACTTTAGTTTGATATTCTATGATATCTAAACAGTTATGGTTTGATGCTTCTTTATTCTCCTCTTCTTTTCTTAAGAAACTGGCTGTATTCAAGCAAATATATGTTGTCAAGACTAAATTATCTTTTTCTAATAATATGGCTTCATATATTAAATTTTGGGAATTAGTTAACCATTTTCCAGCTCTTTGATTTAATAATATATTCCTGACCTAATATGGGGTGTTCACTAACAGGATCCTGCCGAAGATCAGCTTCTGACTCCTTTCTATCAGCAGGGCCGTGGCAGCCACCACCCACCTACATCTTTGCCCCCCTTTCTCCAGTGTTCCATAGCTCTCTCTCTTTCACTGTCTCTCTCTCTTCCTCCTGTGCTCTCTTCCTTTTACATGATCTCTCTCGCCCAGTTTCACCTTCTGTGTCTCTCTTTAATCTGTCTTTTCCAGTCTTTCTCACTTTTTTCTTTTTTTATCTCTCTCTCTCTCTCTCTCTCTCTCTCTGTCATATCCTGTTTCCTCTTTCCCTCACACTTTGTCTGGGCACCAGTGCATTCTCCATGTTAAGTAACAGCTTACTTACATTAGCTCTCTCACACTGTCTACCTTTATCTCGGCTGTTCACTTTGGCTCTGTGACTCCTGCTGCCCCTACACCTGTAACTGCACAGCTGGCTCTCCCTTGCCTTCAGGGTCAGCAGCTTAACTCTCTCTCTCTGGGCACCAGTGTGAGCCATTCAATGGCTCCCCTCTGTCTGTCTGCAAGATGGACAGCTTTGGCTTTCTCTCTCTCTTTTTCCAATTTCTTTTCTCACTTTTTACAAAAACGTTCTGAGCTTCCCTCAGTAATTCCTTAATTGGTTTTTTATTCCA